AACTGCCTTTCCCTCTTAGAGGACCTATCCATCTCCTAGTAAGGTTTCAGGCATGCCTCATCTTCTCCCTCCCCTCTGCAGATCTCTCTCCCAGGTAATGAAGAAAGATGCCTGGTTTCCTCCAGCCCTGTACCCACCCTGAACATAGCTTACTTGCCAGACAGCAGCAGCTGCCCTGCAGTCTGGACGTGGACTCTAGCCCCAGCCATGCTTACTGAGGCACTCAGAGCAAGTCATCCTTCCTCAGGCCTGACTCTTGCCTGTAAAACAGGTCCATGTGAGATGGCCTGGTACCAGAACTTTCAGTCCCTGGCCAGCCTCACTCAGCCTCTGTCTCTCTTCCTTTTCTGCAGCACCAGCCGGCTACGGGCTATGGCTGTCCTTGGAACAGAAGGTCGCGGCTCCTTCTCTTTCCCTAAAGCCAAGACTGAGGGGAGCCCTAAGGTAACTCATTGTCACATGATGCTAAAGTCAGCAATGGCCTGAGTTATGTTCCCATCCGTACCCAAAGTCAATGACTGATTAACTTACCATTTGGCTAATCCTAGACTACCAGTACTAAAACCTGTACTGATTGGCTGATTCCTAGACTACCAGTACTAAAACCTATACTGATTGGCTGTTTCCTAGACTATCAGTACTAAAGCCTGTACTGATTGGCTAATTCCTAGACTACCAGTACTAAAACCCATACTGATTGGCTGATTCCTAGACTGCCAGTACTAAAGCCTATATTGATTGGCTGATCCTAGACTAGGACTCCACTGTCTTGGCTTGAGGCTGGTAAGTCCTCAGAACATGTCCCCTTTTTCTTTCTTCAGAGCACTGGCACCCCAGCCACTACCTACCACCTGCAGCGGGCACTGCCTGGGGGCATCATCCTCATGGAGCTGACATTCCAGGTGAGAATGGGGAGCACTGAGTGGGAGAGCTTCCCCTTCCTCTCATACCCCCCTCATCTCATCTCACCCTCTCTTCAGGGCTGTTACTTCTGTGTCAAACAGTTTGCTCTGGAATGTTCCCGAATTCCAATGGGACAGGCTGTCAACTCTCAGGTATGTGATGGGGACAGGGTAATGTGGAGTGGACAGAGAACTCAAGTACACTCGTTGCCACACCATTGTATGGTGGGCCCTATGGTTTCATGACCCTTGTAGTGGACGTAGTGCTGACCACACCATTCTTCTGTCTGACCTGGGAAATCCAAAGCTACATTCAACTGTAGCACAAAGGCTATAGAGATGGTCCTGCCGTGTGCCAGCACATGTATGTAATGTGACGCCTCAGGTCAGGGCCGTGCAAGACCTGGTCTGCTGCAAACTGGGGACAGTCGACATTGCCAGTGTAGTCACCAACACTGGCACTTGATCATTGTTATGTCCTGTCAGTCTGCCTCAAGGCAGGCCCTTGATACCCTGGAGGGAAGCAGTCAGGAGTGTGCAGTTAGTCTAGGAGCAAGCCCTGGCTTGTCTGGTTTGACTCTTTGGGTTGCCAGAAATGTCACGACAGGGCCCATACCTTGTCATAAGTTCACATGTACCTCTAAGAGTAGGATCTAGTGGGACCCAGTGCAGTCAAGACTGCCTCCTCTCTATTATGGGAACCCCCATGCCTGGATGATTCAAACCAAACCCCAGATGGTTGCCTTTGCTTTGAGCATTGAGCATAGATACGTGGTCACGGTAGGTCACAGAGTAATACAACCTAGAAAAGCATAGTGCAGGAACCTTCCTGGACCAGAGTGCTCAAATGGAAGCTTTGGTTAGCGGGCCCTCACTGACACTTTTCTGAGGGGTTGGAGGTCTTCCTCCTAACTGCCTCTGGCTGCCTGTTACCTGATTTCCAGAGATGCCTAGGTTCTCTCTAATCTCTAACCCTGCTCAGGCTTCTGAGTTTGGGTTTTTGAGAAGGGTCTTATATAGCCCAAGCTGTCCTGGGCTCACTATGTAGCCAAAGATGACTCTGTACTCCTTACCCTCCTCTCTCCACCTCCCAACTGCTAGGATTCACAGGCCGTGAGGAGGGAAGAGCTGATCTTGTGCAAGTGTCTAAATTGCTTTAGGATGCCTTTATTTGTCAAATACCCTCTCCATGTATGAGAAAAAAAAATAGTTTATCCTAGGCAGGTGCTGAGCCTGAAGGTCACAGAAATTAAGTACTTTTGTTCTGGGATACACAACTCATCAATGGCAGACTTGGTTGAAGTCTAGGTTTCTGTACACTGATTTCAGCCTTACCTATTTCAGCTCATCACACTGCCCCTGACTGAGATCTGTGCATTATCTCCAAGGTAGGTCAGGAAGCTGACACCTAGAGACTGGTTTACCAGGACCACACAGCTAGTCAGCCCTCTTCTAGTGTTTGTTTGCTCTTCTATCAATTAATGCTCCCAAGGGTGTCCAGATGAAGTCTGCCATTCCAGCAGCACACACCCTGTTGTTAATGCTGTTGGTGGAGCAGACCATGAAGAGAGGGCTTTGCCTTATCTCTGCCTCGTTCCCTCTCTCTCATCCGTCTACCACATCATTCAGCCAGGCAGTCTCAGAGGCAGAGGAGGCCTACCCTGGCCTGGCCCTGCGTATCCCAGGGGAAGCTTTTTAGTGAACAGTAGTGTTGGGTGTCAGGCAGAGGAGCCTTCCAGGGCTCATAGGTACAGAGTGCAGAGGAGAGAGCGTACTGTCCTTGGGAAAGGTAGGTGAAGACTTTCTGATAGATGAACATCTGGCTTTCCTTGACCTTCACCTGATGTTCTGTATCTTCTAGTGCTTTGTAATTATTTATTCCACGTATTATCTATTGTCCCCATCCAGCTAACTTATATAAGCTTCTTGAAGGCAAGGGTCTGTGTCTGTTTCCCTACATTTAGAATGGTCACTGGCAAATACATGGGAGATTATCAGTCAGCCTCTGCTGCATTGCTGAATCTGTGTCAGACTTGAATTAGCTACCCGAGTGGCCCGGATCCATATGACCAGGGAGGAACAACACAGAGTGTTAAGGGGAAGGTTCCCCATAGAAGCTGCTCTGGCGGAGGGAGTTCTGGGTCCACAGCAACAGGAAGTGTTGCCAAACTTCCTCTCTGCCCAGGAGGGAAGAATGGATTGGACAGTGTGTGCTCCCACACCCTAACCCCAGCTCCTCCTCCTCCTGTCGCTCCCCAGCTGTCCATGCTCTTCACAGAGGAGTGTGACAAGGTCCGTGACCTGATGCACGTGCACTCCTTCAGCTATGACTTCCACCTGCGCCTTGTGCACCAGCATGTGCTCGGTGCCCACCTGGTGCTGCGCCATGGCTACCACCTCACCACCTTCCTGCAGCATTTCCTGGCCCACCACCCTGATGGACCCCACTTCGGCCGCAATCACATTTACCAAGGTCAGTGCCCAAGGGCAAGCCAGTGAGGCTAAAATTGAGCAATCACGTGGCCAGGCCTAGCCTGGTAAGGCCATGAATTGCTCATTTCCCTTGTACCATGTCCATTCTTTCGGCCTTTGTCTTTTAAGTTTTTCACAGCTGATTTCACACCAGAATGAAGGCCCTGTGTCTGGAGTTACTCTGCCCTCTCTTCTGGACATTTTATCCCATCTCAACAACATTCCACAGAACCTTGGGAGCTCCCCAAGGAAGCAAAACCTTAGTATTCCCATCCTCTGGCCTCCTCCCCCACCAGCCCAGCTTGCTTATCCCAGACTTAGTGTCTCTTTCTCCTGTAACTTGCCCCATAGGGACACTGGAGCTCCCCACCCCACTCATTGCTGCCCACCAGCTGTACAACTATGTGGCCGACCATGCCAGCTCTTACCACATGAAGCCATTGCGAATGGCCCGGCCCGGTGGCCCAGAGCATAACGAATATGCCCTGGTGTCAGCATGGCACAGGTAAAGCTAGGAGGCAGCTTCCAGCACACACCTGGTAGAGCTGAGGTTGGGGCCACAGTTGGAGTAGGAAGATACGTTTTCTTGGGTACAAGGGTTAGGACTAGTTTCATTAGAGCCTCGGAATTGACATCTCTCCACCCCAACTACGCAGCTCTGGCTCCTATCTGGACTCTGAGGGACTTCGCCATCAGGATGACTTTGATGTGTCTCTGCTTGTCTGTCACTCTGCTGCACCCTTTGAGGAGCAAGGAGAAGCTGAGCGACATGTTCTGAGGTCAGATCTCTTACCTCAAATGTACCCATTTCTCAGATTGCCATCTGCTCCTATCCAGAAATCCGTGGCTGTGACGCTCTCCCACTCTCCTGCCCCTTCCCTTCCCTAGGCTTCAGTTCTTCGTGGTGCTCACCAGCCAACGAGAACTCTTCCCAAGACTCACTGCTGACATGCGCAGATTCCGGAAACCATCCAGGCTTCCCCCTGAGCCAGAGGCTCCTGGGAGCTTGGTTGGTAGCCCTGGGGAGGCATCAGGGATTATGCTGACCCCAGGGCCAGCTCCTCTGTTCCCGCCACTGGCCACAGAAGTGGGTATGGCCCGGGCACGTCTGGCTCAGCTGGTTAGGTTGGCTGGTGGGCATTGCCGGCGGGATACCCTCTGGAAGCGCCTCTTCTTGCTGGAGCCAGCAGGGCCTGACCGGCTAAGACTCGGGGGGCGCCTGGCCCTGGCAGAGCTGGAGGAGCTCCTGGAGGCAGTCCACGCCAAGTCCATTGCGGACATTGACCCCCAGCTGGTAAGAGACCTCACTCCACAAGGGCCAGCATTGCTCTCAGCATTCCATAGGTGACTCGGTGGGAGGGAAGGCGTCTTGGGTGACTCTGGAGTGGTAGGCTTAGGGCTGTGACCCCTCCCCAGGACTGCTTCCTGTCCATGACAGTCTCCTGGTACCAGAGCCTCATCAAGGTTCTTCTGAGTCGATTCCCCCAAAGCTGCCGCCATTTTCAGAGCCCGGACATGGGAACCCAGTACCTGGTGAGTCCTATTGTCCTCACTCTACAGAGAAAAGCCGCAGAAATCCTCATCTGACATTACAGAACCATTCACACAGGCTCTTCCTTGTGTTGTTGTCTTGCTGGAGCTGGGCCACACTGATAGCCTTTAAAACCTCTGAGCGGTGGGTAGTGAGCCCGAGTGCATAATTGCTGGGAAGTGACACGCCTTGGCTTGAGGTCGCAGACACGAAGTGTGGCACTCAGCCCACTGAAACACAGGTGCTCACCCTCCACCACTGTCTGGGGATCTGCGTCTCAGCAGTATCCCAGAAGGTGGACACTGCGCACGCGGGTGTGAAGGCACAGCTGTGAAGGACAGGAAGCGAGAAAGCGACAGTGAAGAGTGTGTGCATGGGAAAGTAAAGAGATGAGAAGATGGCGCAGCTGTGGTTAGGAAGACCGCGAGTGAGAGGAGGAGGAGCGGGCCTGGAGCTAGACCACAGGTCATCCAGAGAAGCCAAGACTTCAGTGGGCAGCCAGAGGGGCGTTTGGGGTACCAGTGATGGGAGCGCTAGAGTGGGACAGAGGAAGGGTGATGAGTTCTTGGGGCAAGTTGAGTCTGTCATCCAGGAGGTGTGTGGACTTGTGGGATCAAGAGAGAGAGGCCACAGCCACATTGGTAGGTGGTGTAGAAGCCCCAAGGGGAAATCACCCAGTGGTAGATCCGGAGCTGAGTGCTAGGAGCAACCGACGTCAGGAGGCAGTAGGAGACCTGGAACTGCTGGAGGGTTGTACCAGGTGTCTAGAACTGCCCTTCCCTGATTGGCTTCCCTGCCATGTCCTCTAGAAGATCCTGACAGGGCTCTGACAGGCAGGGTTGAAGCCCAGTGTGGCAATACCATCCTGAGTGACCCAGGCTCGCAGATAGGCTCAGACGTGACAAAAGGAACCTCACCCTCCTGCCTCTTCAAGAAGCCCTGCAGAGGGTTCACACCCACTGGTTCGCCCCCTCTTCTTTTGTATCTGTTGCTTCAGGTTGTGCTGAATCAGAAGTTCACTGACTGTTTTGTGTTAGTGTTTCTGGACTCACACTTGGGAAAGACGGTGAGAACAAAGGGCAAGGGACTTCACGGGAGCTATACCCCAAGTACTCAAGTCAGCCCTCTAAGAGTAGGCTCCCTCCTGCAGCTAGCTCTCTGTCCCCCCACACGCCTCTCACCACTGCGCCTCTGTCTCGTTCCCCACAGTCTCTGACGGTGGTTTTCCGAGAACCTTTCCCGGTGCAGCCCCAGGACAGTGAGAGCCCGCCAGCCCAGCTGGTCTCTACCTATCACCACTTGGAATCTGTCATCAACACAGCCTGTTTCACCCTCTGGACCCGCCTCCTCTGAGAAAGTGGACTACTGACTTCATTGGTTGAACTGTGGATCTATAAGCGTGCCATTTGAGGCACGACAGACCGGCATTTATGAACCCTGAGTCCTCAGACACAGTGACAGCAAAGATTGTGACTGTGTCTGGGGGACTGCTGCTACAGTCTGGCAACAGGGACCACCCTCCTTCCTGCCCAGTTGGTGGGGCACCAGGAAGCTTCACGTGAACTGGCAAGCACTCACCCCTTAGAGCACCTGACTCAGAGCTGTCACTGTGTGCAACCTGCATCCTTGGCCCTCTGGTCTTTGCTCTCACTTGGCCATCACTGTTGAACATTACTCTTGCGATAAGACACTGGCTCTAATCTTGGCCCTGCCTCTCAGGCACCTGTGACCAGAGTTTACCTCCCACCCCCACTGGACCTTTGGTTCCTTGTCTGTAGATAAGGAGGGCTGAGAAGCTCTGTGTATACACAGCAACCCTGGCACCGACTGGAGGATTTGAGCTTGAGCTGTGTGTCCCTTCTCAGTAGGAGGGAATTAACTCAGACATTGAAGCATTCGACACTGTGTGTCCCCTGCCCCTGTAATATACACATGAAAATGCCCAGTGTGTCTTTAATTCAGAGGAGCCTCAGGACCCTCACCTGCTGCCCCAGGGCAGCATGCAGGTGCCTATCAAATCCTACTGGCCACTCCGTGGGTGGCCCCATCTGTCCCAGTATGAGCGTAGCCAGCTCAGACCCTCCACCGTGTCTCCTGCAATGAAAGAGAGGTAATGCCATCTCGACCCATAAGGAAAGGACAGCCCCCGTCCAACATCCGTCCCTCCAATGACCCCTTCCCCAAGCTACCAGGAGCCTCACCTTGAGGCCGATACTCGCAGCCCACAAATCCTTGGTAACCTTCATCTTCTAGCAGCTGGAACAGGTAAGAAAAGTCCAGCTCTCCTGAGCTGCCTGGCTCCCCTCGGTCTGGGACCTGTGCCACCTGCACATGCCCTGGGAACAGATGAGAAGGGACAAGGGATGAGAAAGGAAGCAATCATAAAAAACAACGTCAGGCAGGAGGGAGCTTGGTAGGGAGAGCCCTCACCAACAATGGGCAGGAACTTCCTGATATTTCCTGTCAGATTCCCATCCATGATCTGCCAGTGGAACACGTCCTGGGGAGAGAACGTCAAACCCGCAGGTGTCTGCCACAGTCTTCCCCAGACTGGAAGACAGGACCTGGAGAAGCACCTGTCTTCTACTCACCATTTGCAACTGAAGATTGGGTCTCCCAACCTTCTGCAGGATGGCTGCCGCTGTGAGGGAAAGCCAGGAAGAAAGCCATGAGGCTTTGGGACGTGTGAATTAAAGAAAGGGGGTGGCACAGGACTAGAGTCCTACCCTGCTGGGGTGTATCCAGGAAGTACTGGGGGTCCGTGATTCGGGTGTTAATGGGCTCCAGCAGTCCCACGAGGTTCTCCTAGAACCATGTTGGAGGCTGTCAAGGATCACTGGTAAACAACCTCATCTGTTCCTCTGACCTGTGCTCCTGCTCAGCTTTGTACCTCACCCAGTGTGCCCAGTCCCCACCGTGTACCCCCTTACTCTCTCACCTGAGCCAAAACCCCAGCCGCGTGCCTCAGGTTCTCCAGAAACACTGTCTCCATCTCCGCCTTGACTGCTGCTCGGTCAGCCCCGAGGGGTACTCGGCCAGCCATCAGGTGGATCCTGTAGAGAAGGTTGTGGGGAGGGCTCATGCCCTCAAGTCCCTGTGTGTCTTCTGGGTTCTCTCTGACTGTACCGGCCTCCCCCATCACCCAGGTCTTCAGACCATTTAAGGCATATGCCCAGACATCCCAGCAGCCTCCACAGCTGCGTGTCAGCCCAAGGCAAGTCACCCATGTCCTCTTGCAGTCAGCCCATGGGGCCTCTGCCTATCTCTGATTCCCTCCTGGACTCTTAACCTCGCCTTTCCCTTGTTCCTGCATAGCTCATAGCATGCCTGAGGTTCACTTTTCTTTTTTTCCACATTTTAAAAATTTATTTGTGTATGAGCGTCTTGCTTGCATGTATCTGTGTATACCATGTGTGTGCCTGGTGCTCTTGGGGTTGCCCCGCCACTTGATTGTGAGCTGCCATGTGGGTACTGGCAACCCAGCCCAGGTCCTCTGCAAGAGAACAAGTGTTCATAACTGCTGAGCCATCTCTTCAGCCCGGAGGCTTACTTTTTAAAGAGGATTTTAACCCTTGCCCCTTTTAGACAGTCCTTGTTGCTTAACCCTGCTTCACATCGTAGCCTCCTCCCAAATGCTTTCTGTCCCTACTGTTGACTGATAATGAGCCTCCTGCAGCCATTTGCTTCCCAGCACCTCTTGACCTCTGGGGTTTGACATTAGTCCCATTTTGAGGCTCCTCATCTCAACAACATCCAAATTCCCACAGGCCCTGCAGGCATCCAGGCCCTTGGAACTTAGTGTTCACCACCTCCGGCCTCATTAACTGAACTGGGCTCAACAACCGTCCTCTGGCAGGGACAGCCTCCTTGCCTGAAGAGTGGACCTCTCCCTATAAAGCGGATGTGTGGGCCTGCTAGTTTCATTACCTGCATCGCTATCTGCAAACCGCGCTGCCCCCCATCCTCACCCCCACACTTTCTCATCCTTGTTAAGCTCCCTCATCAGACCCCAGCACTCAGCATGTGAGGTGAGCCTGAAAGCGTGGTATACAGAATGACACACACGAAATACAAAAAGTAGTCTGCAAATGCCCTAGCCCACAGACGCGGGGCTTCTCCCGATCTGGCCCGAGGTCAAGGGAGGGCAGGGCAGGGTACCTGGGGCAGCCCAGAGCCTTGGCGTACAGCACAGCCTGCTCCAGCCCCTCTCGGAAGGCCGCCTGTCTCCCGGGGACAGCCCCCAGCCCCATCTCCCCCTTCTCTTGGTCTCCTGTGGAGAGAACCGGCGTTAGTGCGGGCTTGGCTCCCCGCAGCCCGGCCACTCCCCGCCCCCGTGCGCACCCCGCGGCGTGTTGATGAGCACCAGCCTTAGCCCCGCGGCCCGTGCAGCGCTTGCCAGCGCCTGGGGCGGCTCGGCGTACGGCCAGGCCACCTCGGCCGCCTCGAAGCCCGCACGGCCCGCGGCCTGCAGCCGCTCGGGCAGCCCGGGGAGCTCCGGGAACAGCCATGAAACGTTGGCCGAGAAGCGTAGCGGAGCCATGTGGGCGGAAGGCGGCGGCTTCGGGTCAGGAAGCTGGGTAACTGGCGAAGGGCGGAGCCAGGCCGCCCTAGCAGCGACCGTACTGGAAGCCAAAGTCCCAGTCCAGTTCAAACAAAGGGAGGTGGATGTCTGAACGAATCGCCTGGTGAAAGAAAAGAATGTATGTAGCTTTTCGCTAAGTAACGCTCGAAAGTTATGAGCAAATAGCTTTATTTGAGTCAGAGTCTCACTATGTCACATATGCTGATCCAGGTCTCCTGCCGTCATCCTCCTGCCTCAGCCTCCTTCTATGGGATTACAGGCCTACCTCCACCACACTCGGATCTTTATACCAGCAGTCTTCACACCGCCAGCCCTTTGGTTTTCCCTTAAAGACTAAACACTAAGTGAGCAGTTTCTTTTTCTGAGAAAATTCGGATCATGTTGTATATACTTTTATAGCCTATCTTTTTCCAAGCGACAGTCTATTAACATTCCCCCGTGTTCTTCCATACTCTTCAAAGTCGTGCCAATCGCTGTTTATTGTTGCACTGCACACTTAGACAGCCCATAATTATCTTCATGTCGTTGTGGATGGTGTGTGTGTGTGTGTGTGTGTGTGTGTGTGTGTGTGTGTATGCGCACTGTAGGAGCGCTTTAAAGCGCCTCTGGGTCCCCATCTTATTTTTAAGATTCCCTTTATAACAATGTCCATCACAGAGCTTGCCAGTTCTAGATGTTTGTCCATAAAAGAAACAGCTGTACCAGGGTAAGGGCAGTAAGCAGCTGGGGGTGAGGCAGTCTCCGCCTCCGCTGATTGGGTCACGGGAAGACATCCAAGGACAGCCAACCTGGGCCAATCAAGATTCCCTTATCTGGATTTGGGTTTGCCAGATGATTGGATATGTGGAAACTTAAAATAAAACCTTAAAAAAATAATTTTAAAAAGTGGAACAAAGGTAGAGCTCAGAAGAGCATAACAGAGTCCTTAAGTAAAAGCATCGGGAAAATCTGCTGTCCCGGTGCGGCTGCTCCACAGCTGGGTGCTTTCCCTGGCTGGGATGCTACGGTACCTGCAAAGCCTCCTGTGTTTCATATTTTCTTTTTTTGGATTTTCGAGACAGTAGCTTTTGGTTCCTGTCCTGGAACTAGCTCTTCTAGGCCAGGCTGGCCTCGAACTCACAGAGATCCGCCTGCCTCTGCCTCCCGAGTGCTGGGATTAAAGGCGTGTGCCACCACCACCTGGCTCCTGTGTTTCTTGAAGCAATTTGAACAAATCTCTTCCATCCACAGAAACCCGACTTACTTGCCGCATAGAATTATATAGTTCATAAGTGGAAACAGGCTTTTGTTTGTTTGTTTTATTTTTTTCTAGACTGTTTCTCTGTAGCTTTGGAGACTGTTCTGGAACTCGCTCTGTAGACCAGGCTGGCCTCAAACTCACAGAGATCCGCCTGCCTCTGCCTCCCGAGTGCTGGGATTAAAGGCATGCGCAACCACTGCCTGGCAATCTTTTTTTAAATTTATTTTATGTGTATGGTGGTTTTGCCTACTTATATGTCTGTGCAGTACATTCATGCAGTACCAACGGAGGCCAGAAGAGGGCATCAGATCTCCTGGAATTAGCTGCTAAGTAGGTGCTGGGAACTAGACTTGGGTCCTGTGGAACTGCACATCTTCTGCAACCACCCTTAAATTCTTGTTTTGTTTTTGTAATATGGAAAAAGGTCACCAGCCATTCAGGCTATACAAGAACATACAGCAACTAGCAAGCCTTTAGTGATACCAAGAACCCTACCTTTAAAATGGTTAACTGAGAAACCAGTATGGGTTAAGAAGTGGCCTCTAGCTGAAGATAAATTATCAGGAACAGCTGATATGAGAGCAACTAGATGCTCACCATATTGAAGAATCAGCCAGCCCTTGGAATTCTCCTGTGTTTGTTGTAAAAAAAGAAATCTGGTAAATGGAGAATGGTGGCAGATCTAAGAGCTGTCAACAGGGTAATTCAACCTATAGGTCCGCCACAATCTGGAATTCATTTGCCTTCTCTATTACCAAAAGGATGGCCTCTTATAGTTATTGATTTGAAAGATTGTTTTTGCACTATACCTTTACAAGAAAAGGATAGAGAAAAATTTGCCTTCACAGTGCCTACTTATAGTAATTCTCAGCCTACTAGGAGATATCAATGGACTATCTTCCCACAGGGGATGCTCAATAGTCCCACGTTGTGCCAATATTTTGTAAGTCAGCCATTGGAAATAATTCATAAGCAATTTCCTAAGTCTATAATTTACCATTACATGGATGACATTTTGTTATCTGATTCAAATGCAGATACTTTAGAAAGGATATTTGAAGAAGTAAAGAAAGTCTTGCCTAAATGGGGATTACAGATTGCTCCTGAAAAGATTCAAAGAGGAGATTTTGTTAATTACCTAGGTTACAGTATAGGTTTACAAAAAATTAGAACACAAAAGGCACAAATTAGGAGAGACCAGTTTCAGACTCTTAATGACTTTCAAACATTGTTAGGAGACATTTCCAGTCTATGACCAGCTGTTGGGATAACAACTGATCTAATAGTTCATTTAAATAAAACCTTAGATGGTGATAAAGATTTGAATAGTCCCAGAGAATTAACAGTTGAAGCAGAAAAGGAACAGACAATGGTTGAGGAAAAATTACAGGAGGTAGATGTGAATAGGGTGAATTCAAATCTTAGTTGTATCCTAGTCATATTGCCTTCCAGAATTTCTCCTACGGGAATTTTAATGCAGAGGGAAGATATTATTTTAGAATGGATCATTATACCACATAAACCAAGTTAAAAATTAAAAACTTATGTGGAAAAGTCTCTGAATTAATTATAAAAGGTAAACTGAGACTTTATCAACTAGCAGGAATAGACCCAGCAGAAATGATAGTGCCTTTTACTACTGAGGAAATAAAAAAGTTATGAAAAGACAATGAACCATGGCAAAGAGCTTGTGCTAATTTTTGGGGAGAAATTAATAGCAACTATCCCAAAAGTGATAGACTTAACCTTATAAAGAGAACTTCTTGGATTCTTCCCTGAATTGTACATGATGCACCAATAACTGGAGCCTGTACATTTTATACTGATGCAAATAAATCAGGGAAGGCAGGTTATGAATCAGAAGAATTGAGTAAGGTGGAACAAAGCCCTTATAGTTCTGTCCAGAAGGCAGAATTATATGCCATTCTTATGGTGCTGAGGGATTTTAAAGACCCTCTTAATATAGTGACTGATTAACAATATACAGAAAGAGTTATCTTACATATTGACTGCTGAATTGATACCAGATGATACAGAATTGACTTCCAGGTGCAAGACATAATCAGGAAAAGGCTTTGTCCTATGTACATAACATATATCTGATCCCATACAGGTCTGCCAGGTCCTCTAGCACAAGATAATGCAGAAATTGATCAATTATTGATTGGAAACATATTGCGGGCCTCAGAATTTCATAAAAAACATCACGACAATAGCAAAGGTTTAAAGAAAGAGTTTTTTATTACATGGCAACAAGCTAAGGAGATTATAAAGAGATGACCTACTTGCTCTTTCTATAATCAAACACCATTGCCTGCAGGAAGTAACTCAAAGGGTACTCAAAGGAATGAAATCTGGAAGACGGATGTGTTCCACTTTACAGAATTTGGTAAATTAAAATATGTACACCATACAATAGACACATATTCAGGTTTTCAATGGGCAACTTCCTTGAGAACAGAAAAGGCTGGTTCAGTAATCACACATTTATTGGACATTATGGCCATCATGGGTATAGCTGCACAAATAAAGACAGACAATGGTCCAGCATATGTATCTAAGAAAATGAAATGCTTTTTTGCTTATTATAAAGCACATTACAGGTATACCAAATAATCCTACAGGTCAGGCAGTTATAGAAAGGTCAAATTGTACTGTAAAGGATATGCTGAACAAACAGAAAGGGATGGAAAATATCCCCAGAAATAGATTGCATAATGCTTTATTAACCTTGAATTTTCTTAATGCTAATGAGAAAGGAACAACAACAGCAGAGAGGCATTGGATGATGGAAAAAAACTTCTGAGTTGAATCAACCAGTATATTTCAAGGATGTGTTGACCTCACAATGGAAAACAGGAGATGTACTCTGTTGGGGAAGGGGTTTTGTTCTTGTTTCCACAAGAGAAGAAAAATTATGGATACCATCAAAATTAATAAAGATTTGCTTTGAAAAAGAAAAAACCTTTTGAAAAAGAGAAATGATACCACATCCACAATAGTGACAATCATGTAGGTGGTAAGCAAAGCTCATAAGGGTCAGGGCAGGGTTCTGCTCTTATCTTTGCAGGAAAATACACATCATCAAAAATTCAAGAGACCATGGATGTTTGCATGCTGACAGAAGAAAAAATAACTATCCACTAAGAAACATCTAGAAAACAGAATATGGTTTATGAATCCAGGTATGGGTTGTACTTACATTTATACACACACACACACACACACACACACACATTAATATATTCATCTGGATTTGGAGTTGGACAATAGCTCTGTACTTCTCTAAATCCAAGCATGTTGTTAAAAGGAACATTCAGAGTTTCTGTCTCATATGGGGAGCCATCTGGTATGGGGCAGAAGAAAGACTTTAGGAAAAATTTTTATGTTCTCTATGCCCTTTTTGCCTATATCATATTCTCCATTGAATGTTTGTATATATGAATAATGTTTAAGTTTTTCATGATGAACAATAGATTTTCCTACAGACCCTTTTCCTGCAGTAATCTTTGAAGTTTCCAGGAAGAAGATGGGGCCCCACAGAAACAACTCTACCTAGTTGAGATGACATCGTGATGCAGACAGCACTACTATAAGACCACTTCTTTATTTGGGTACCAGCTGCTGAAATGGTGCACCTTCTCATGACTTTCTGGCCAGAACTCCAAATAAGAACTTTGGAAAAAAAACTATCAACTGCTCAGAAATTATATGCAACTATACTAGACAGTA